AAATTTTATATATATATATATATATATATATATAGAGAGAGAGAGAGAGAGAGAGAGAGATCACATTGGAAATGTATAAATATATAATCATAATAATAAATAATATTAATATTTATTAACTAGTAATAACATAATGTACAATAATTAATCATATATCAATTAAAAAACAGTAAATAAAAAAATACATGTTTAAAAATTATATTTAAAATATATTAAAATATTTAGATTTAGAAATGAAACGGGTCACGGGTTTTGATTTTGCGTTGACTGTAGACTGCACTGGAGGAAACACAGAGCTCACACATGAGCGGGTCAGAAGATGTAAGAGTGTGAGCCGGACACTTACGCTTTTAGAGCCGTGCTGAAGCGTGATCTCATGAGTGTCCGGGATCTTCTTCACTGGATTCTGTCACAGAAACACAAACATCTTCAGTGACTTCTAATTCAGTATAAGACGAATGGAAGGTCGTTCGTGGCAGGAACGCGTGTGCAATAACACACCGCCAAAACATCATATCCAGCTCTCAGAGCACTCTTGTCCAATCAGACGCATGCAGGTCTGTGTGATTTGTGGCGTCAGCTGATTACGCCACACCTGGGCCTGATGGGATACATTTAGCCGAGCGGCCCGACGACAAACCCATCTATCAAAGCGGCCCGCGGCGGCCCTCAAACACCACAGGCCTGGGAAAACAGAGACGTCTGCACACTGTTACAGACAGACCACGACATTTACAACTCACACACACACACACACACACACACACACACACACACACTCTCAGACACTCTCTCTCTCTCACACACTCACTCACACACTCACACTCACACTCACACACACTCTCACACACACACACACACACACACTCTCAGACACTCTCTCTCTCTCACACACTCACTCACACACTCACACTCACACTCACACACACTCTCACACACACACACACACACACACTCTCAGACACTCTCTCTCTCTCACACACTCACTCACACACTCACACTCACACTCACACACACTCTCACACACACACACACACACACACTCTCAGACACTCTCTCTCTCTCACACACTCACTCACACACTCACACTCACACTCACACACACTCTCACACACACACACACACACACACTCTCAGACACTCTCTCTCTCTCACACACTCACTCACACACTCACACTCACACTCACACACACTCTCACACACACACACACACACACACTCTCAGACACTCTCTCTCTCTCACACACTCACTCACACACTCACACTCACACTCACACACACTCTCACACACACACACACACACACACTCTCAGACACTCTCTCTCTCTCACACACTCACTCACACACTCACACTCACACTCACACACACTCTCACACACACACACACACACACACTCTCAGACACTCTCTCTCTCTCACACACTCACTCACACACTCACACTCACACTCACACACACTCTCACACACACACACACACACACACGCACTCACTCACTCACTCACTCACACACTCACACACACTCTCTTTCTCTCACACACTCACACTCACACACTCACACTCACTCACACTCACACACACACTCACACACACACACACACACACACATGCCGTTGACGTGCCCAGACGCACCGCTTTGAATTTGTGCGTATAGTGAAAGACATCGCGTCGGGAGCTGACTAGCAAAATAGCTACAAAAGTAAAAGCAGACGTTTGTATTCAAACTCAAAAAGCAAACACACTAGAACATTTTTTTAATGTTTCAAAAAAGTACCTCAGATGTGTGTAACTTCTAATTTGTGCTGATTTATATTTAAGGTAACAATTCAATACATAGGCTAAAATCATATTTATTAATATTAATAATAATATGACAATATCTTAGTTAATACATACCCTGCTAGGAAAAAATATATATAAAAGCACTGATGTTCATTTGCTGAAGTGGTATTCAGGACCTGTGAATAAATTACTGAAAAAATTACTGCAAAATCATAATAATAATTTTATCACGGCTATAATAACAACATCCTCAACAAATAAAAAATAGATAATAAAGTTTGATTAATACGTACGTACAGTACCTGTCAAAAGTTTGGACACATTACAGTTTTTAGTGTTTTTGAAAGAAGTCTCTTATGCTCATCAAGCTGTACATTTATTTGATCAAAAATACAGAAAAAAACTGTAATATTGTGAAACAGAAAAGAAAAAAATATTATAGTTCTTTCTGTATTTCTGATCAAACACACAGGTAACAGGGTGGATCTCAAGAAAACATGCTCAGGTCATATTTCATAGGGAAAAAAAGAAAGAAGCCTTTTTATTCTTATTATATTTTCATTACTATAAATGGTTCATTTTAAATATAACATTTAAATCAGCATAAATTAAAGGCATTATTTATTACCATAAGGGTTTTCTTATGATACAATTTAAACAATACATCTCAATACATATATTTAGAATTTTTTTATTCATATTGGTTTGCATTGAATTAATTATCATGAAATTAATGACAATGCAAAACAAATAAAAAAAATGTTTTATAATAAATAAATTGAATTAATATGAATTTGGGGGATAAAATGTACGGTACAAAAATGGTTAATGGTTTTAAAAATAGTAAAATACATATATTTTTAAATAGCAAAATATTTAGAATTTCAATTTTGATATATAGTTCATTATATTCTCTTTCATTAGTATACAACATTAATTATAAATACTACGTTTATCTACATCAGCATAAATTAAATGCATTACATACTACTATAATGTTTATTTTTTACGTTTAATATATATTATGATAATATTATATTGTAATATATATGTTTTTAATAATACTTTTTTTTTTACATTAAATTAACAGAAATTTGGTGATTAAATGTGCTTTATTATAATAATAATAGCGTTAATTTTCTTAATGTAAAATATAGTTTTTATTTATATTGAAATTTATTATAAAGTAATTTTTATTCTTGTTAGATTTCCATTAATATAAACATTAATTACACATTTTACACACAGATGTTTGCATAAGCATAAAGACATCAAATATTCCCATGTTTATTTTTTACAAAACAATTTAAGTAATATATGCAAAATATATATTTTTTATTTTAATGTATACCTTTTTAATGTTATATCTAATATTATTCACTTTAGAATATGTTTGCATTAAATTAGTGAGAATATTATATAGTATTTTTCCATCAAAGCCATCAACACAATGTCTAATGAGGTAAAATGACAGGATATGAAGCTCTTTTGAAGTCTAATAAGTCTTTTTAGTCATATTTGTAGTGATGCCTAATGGCAGTGTGTCCCTCTAGTAGCGTCAGAGACACATTACACACTCACACACACACACACACACACACACACACACACACGTCTGGTTTGCTATCCTTTTGGGGACATCCCATAGGCGTAATGGTTTTTATACTGTACAGACCGTATATTCTATTGCCCTAAACCAACCCTACCCCTAAACCTACCCCTCACAGGAAACTTT